GCCGCCGCAGGCTCGGTCCGACCCGGGCAGAGACTTGTTGCGTTTGCAGCTAACGCCCGCTGCCCCCAGGCCCTCGATGGCTTCCGGGCGGGCGCCCGAGACGCGGCGGGGGCGCGATCCGGAGCCCGGGCTCTCGGGGTGACCTTAGAGGATGTGCGCGGCTGGGGTGGAGGCTTTAGCGCTGCGCACGTTCGCTGGGGCTTTACGCAGCCGGCCCCGGTGCTTCGCGCGCCTTTATCCGGATGCTTAGCTGCTTTGTTCGCTCTGCCCGCCCTGGGTGCTCAGCGTGAGAAAGGCCTAGACTCGTTCGCAGAGACCTTATCCGGGAAGACCTGTGCTTGCTGACTGCCCTCGTGACCTGCTCTTTTTCCGCAGCCCGCGCCTGGAGGAAGAGGAGGCTCTTGGGTTGTGTGTGGGCCTTTACGAGGCTGGCTGCCGGCAGGCCCGGGCTTGCGGTGGCGGAGGAGGAGCAGCGGCACTGTTTTTCTTTGCGGTTCTAGAGCTTGATCCTAGGGCCTTCCCACTGAGTTATTAACCCGTTTTTATTTTTCATTTGGGGTCTTGCTAAGTCACCAAATTGTCCAGGTTGGGCTTGATCTTACGATCCTCCTGCTTCGGCCTCCCGGAGTGCTGGGATTATAAGGCATTTGACAGTAAGCACAGTTTACTTTTAGTGGTGTATAGCCAGGGGAGTGACGATGTAAGAGACCAACAGTCCTGGGCTGTTTTTATCTTGTTTGTTGTCACTCATTTTCTGCGCGGCCGACATTGATTTGTCAGTGGACTGAATATAATGCAAACCATTTTCTTCTCATAAAGGAAACATTTTAAAAGTGTACTTTTTTCTACAAAGATCTAAAAAAATCCGTACTAGCCGGACCCTCAGAATTGTAGTTTGTAGTTTTTGAACTCCTCCAAACTTATGTAAGAGATCTGTTAGAAAAACTCATCTGTATTTATAATAGCGACTATTTGTGGATTTTTGTTTTGTTTTGGTTTTGTCTTTTTGAGACAGGGTCTCGCTATGCAGTTCAGGCTGGCTTGAGCTCACTTTGTAGCCCAGGCTTAGTCTCGAACTCACAAGGATCCTCCTGCCTCAGCCTCCCAAGTGCTAGGCTCACAGGCGTGTGCCACCACGCTCCGGGGTGGATTTTTGTTGCAGGACTAGTCTACACCTAGAGATCTTAAAACAAATTAACAAAAAAAAAAAATGAGTGGGTGTGGGTGGGGGGTTGGAATTGTGCATTTGAAACTGAGTTCAACGAGAAGAGATGTAGCATTCATCTGATCCTGCTTAAAATGCAGGACATGTTTGAGTTTCACTTTAAGGTCATTCATTTTGGGGGAACCTTTGGTGACAATGTGTCTTTTCTCTTGCATGCACTAGAGAACTGTAAATATGATTTGCATAGTAATCTCTTCGCAGTTTAGTTCTAACCAACTTGGGAAAATGTTACATGATTGTTTCAAATTCAGGGGCTTTATGCCCAGTCAGAGCCTTCCTAACTTTTAATACAGTTACCTTGCCAGTATTGTTACTTAATCTACTGCAGATTGGAAACAAACTAATACTAGAATGACTTAGTTTGAAACAGATACAACTATCTCAGATGTAACTGTCTAGGATAAAAAGTAAAAAAAAAGATTACAGGACTGGGAGGCTGAAGCAAGAGGATCTCAGGTTGGAGCCCAGTCTTGGCAATTTAAGAGTTTAGTGAGATCCTGGGTCAAAATAAAAAGGGCTGGGGATCTAGTTTGGTGTGAAGGCCCTGGGATGCATCCCCAATACCAATGGAAAAAAAGGACTTATTTATGGCCAGTATCTAGAAGACAGGGCAGCCGGTTGTGGTGGCACTTGCCTGTAATTCCAGCAGTCAGGGAGGCTGAGGCAGGAAGATGGGAAGATTGAGTGTAGCCTGGCAACTTCAGGAGATGCTGTCTCAGAATAGAAGGGGGGGCTTTGGGAGGAGGTCAGTGGGAAGGTACGAGGTCCAATCTCCAGTGCCACCAATCTAAAAAAGAAAGAAAACAAGAAGTTAAAAAGAGACTAGTGATTACAACTTGCTCAGGAGGAATTCTAGGCTGGTGTTTTTAAGGGGCTTTATGAAGGTTTTTCCTTTTTTTTTTTTTAAAGTATGTATATATATTTTTATTTTTTGGTGTTTTTTTTTTTCTAGTACCGGGAATCAAACTCATGACTTTGCATTTGCCAGGCAGGCGCTGTGCGGCTGAGCTAAATCCCCAGCCCCTTTTTCCTTTCATTAAATCTTTCTTTAGAAGGGTCCCGTGGTTCCTTAGGGTACGTTCTGAGTTCTAGAATATCATGAGTTTCACTTGAACGGCAGCTCAGAATTGCAGTGGTGACCTCTAAAATGCTTCCCGTTCGGATTTTACGTGTGGATGTAATGTGTAATGTTTTGATTCTTTTCTTGCAGTACAAAATGGCAACCCTTAAGGAAAAACTCATCGCCCCAGTTGCGGAGGAGGAGGCTGGGGTGCCAAACAACAAGATCACTGTAGTGGGCGTCGGGCAGGTCGGCATGGCGTGTGCCATCAGCATTCTGGGAAAGGTACGGGTCAAGAATACTAGGAGAGTTTCATTCTGCCTGTTTGACCACAGCACAGTGCCTATGTTCGGGGAGCTTCACATTATATATAGCACTGTTGTGTAGTACATACACAGTATTCATATTAGAATTGTCCGTGTTGTCATAGTCATATATCCTTATACCTGTTTTGACCTCCATCCAAGGTTATATATTTATTCATTTATTTATTTTTGTGCCCGGAAGGGAACTCAGGACCTTGCACTTGCCAGGCAGGTTCTTGTGCTGCTGAGCTATATCCCTGGTTCTATATTTTATATTCTTATGTCTCTTCATTTTTCTTTTTTTTTTTGGTTTTTTTCCAGTACCAGGAACCGAACTCACGACCTTGCACTTGCCAGGCAGGCGCTTTGCCGCTGAGCTAAATCCCCAGCCCCCTCTTCATTTTTCTTAAATCTTGAAATGTTAGCTCTTTTTTTTCTCCTTAGCAGTGCTGGGGATTGAACCCACGGCCTTCAGTATGCTGAATGAGTGCTCTGCCCCCGAGCTATAGTCCCTCTCCAGCCCAGCCTTTGTCTTATGCCACTGACACTTTTGTGGGGTCCAGGTCACTCCTGCAGGCTATCTTGCTACTTAGGTTTGTGTATAATGTCAGAGTAATTCAGTTCAGGTTAAATTGGGGGCTGGGATTAAAACCAGCTTCTTGGGGAATCCCGTCAGAAGTTCCATGATGTTCAATACGTGGCGTTACCGGGGGTGCTGAAATTAATTCCATGGTTAGACGGGTGCCTGATATTTCTTCACTGTAAGAGTTTCTCCCTCTAAGAAGTCATCGGGCTTTTTGAGTGAACGTATCCTACTGTTCCCCTCACACTTTCAACTGTAGTTTCATTTGGAAATGGTTTCAAACCTACAGAAAATTTACGAGAGTATTAAAAGTACTGTACCTTCCGTGTACACTTTCCATCTTTATCCTCACCATTTGAGCAGTCACGGACGTGGCGCTGTTACTTCTAAGTCCTTCGAAAGACCTTTGCTAAGAATAGGACGTAGTCTTACATAACCGAGGCGGTTCTCCGCAGGAGTGTTGCTCCTCCGCCGCACCATTATCACCTCCCGCCGCCCATGCCTTGATTCCCCAGGACCTCCGTAGACTTTGCGTTCCCTCTCTTATAACCCTTACAGTTCAGATACAGTTTTCTTTAGTGCGCAAGGACTTTTGAGGAAAGAAACCCTTTTCTTACTTGCTGCACTGAATGGATTCCTTTTTTTTTTCTTAATGTAGGAAGAAAGGACAGAAAGGAAAGCAAGCTCTGCCTTGCCCTCAGTAGAGCACACTGTCCCCTTTGTGAGGCTGCCTGGGTAACTCCTAGGCAGATGCCTTGCTGTTTGCAAAAAGAAATTTTTTTGCAGTGCTAAGAATTTTTTTTTTTCCGGTACTGGGAATTGAACTCACGACCTCGCCCTTGCCAGGCAGGCGCTGTGCCACTGAGCTAAATCCCCAGCCCCTGCGGGGCTAAGAATTGAACCCAAGGCTTTGTGCATGCTAGGCAAGCTCTGCCGCTGAGCCCCACCCCCAGCTCTTTAAAGTTTAACTCTAAGGGGATAAATTCTGAATCTATGCCTAGAAACAGTTGGCAAGTCAATTGAAATATGAAGTACACAGCAAAGAAATTTTATTTATTTGTGGTACTGGGAGTGGAAAGTGTGGCTTAGTGCATGATAGGCAAGCAGTCTACCGCTGAGCTGTATCCCTGGCCCTTTTTGAAAATTTTTATTTTGAGACAGGGTTGTACTTAAATTGCCTGGGTTGGCCTTGAACTTTGAATTGTTCTGCCTTAGCCTCCTGAGTTAGCTAGGATTATAGGCATGTGCTCCTATGCCTGGCCTAGCTAGCTTTAAATGTCTTGTTTAATTGCTTGTGATTTGAGATAGCTGCTTTCCAAATTATGAGGCATTTTATCACGATAGAGTACTCACTATTTCTTCCAGTAAAAGTATTTATTTATATTTCTTTTAAAATGCATATATGGAATATATGCTGTGTTCAAAGTACTTTAAATAAAATGCTTCATTTGAAACAATCCAGACATGGGAACTCTTCGTATGCTTGTTTCAGGCAAGATTGCCGAGGCTAAAGAGACCCCATAGCCTGCCCACGGTCACACCACAGGTAGTGCCAAGAACTGTACAGGTGCCCCTTCGCTAAGTCTGGGATACATCTTTAAACCTACAATATTATTATCATTATTATTATTATTATTATTATTATTTTGGTTTTGGTTTTTCTCCAGTACCGGGAATCGAACTCATGACCTTGCGCTTGCCAGGTGAGCGCTGTGCCGCTGAGCTAAATCCCCAGCCCCTACACCTAGAATATTAATTAAGGCATTTGATATCCTCAACCTGCAGAGCGCTGTAGCTTAGCAACCCGGTGCCCAGAGAATACGGTGATGGCGTGGCTGTCTGGGAATTGCGGCCCTCTGCTGCGTCCAGCGTCACCACCAGAAGGTGTTTACTGTGTATTGCTAGGTCAGGAGAAGATTCAAATACAAAAACTAAAAGAGAGAAAGAAAAAAGGAAAAGAAAAATGGAAACAAAGCTTCTATAAATAGAAGAGGGATTGAAGAGAGAGGCAGGGAATGGAAAAAAAAGAAGCAAGATATATATATAAATATAAGTTCCTTATGATGAATGTGATCATTATGTATATCTAAAATGTACTGATAATTGCTTCTTGCTTTTTGGCTAAGATCAAGTGTAAAATGTTCCAATAAAAATTTAAAAAGATAGCCAGGTTTGATGACGCATACCTGTAATATCCCGGCTCTTGGGAGGCTGAGGCAGAAGGACTGAGACCAGCCTGGGCTACAAAGTGAGCTCAAGGCCAGCCTTAATTGCATAGTGGGACCCTATCTCAAAAAGACCAAAAAAAAAAAAATTTAAAAGAATATTAAAGTCATTTGGGGGGAGGGTTTGTTTTGTTTTGTTGTACTGGGGATTGAATTCAGGAACTTATGCATACTAGGCAAGCACACAGCTGCTGAGCTACAGCCCCAGCCCAGGAAGACAGAATCTTAAAAAGAGCCAAACGCAGAATTCATTCTGTGCTTCTGTTTGGATGTGTGTGCTTTTCCACTTAAATCAGACCATGATAAGACAGGGACCATATGCACTTTGTTTGTTTGGTTGGTTTTTTGGTAGCAGGACTCGAACTCAGGACCTTGTGCTTGCCAGGCAGGCACTTGTGCCGCTGAGCCATATCCTCAGCCCACCATATACACTTTGAACCCAGGACTTTGAAATGCAGTGCAGTGATGTCCAATATCTTATTTCCTATGCCAGCTGTTCAAGCTGTTAAAAATGTAAACGTGTTCGTGAAACCCTAGCTATGCCCTTAGCCAGGTGTTTGTGTATTTCTCCATTAATTCTTCCCTAAAACCTGTTGTCAGGTGGTGTCTCTGTATTATGTCCAGGGGGAAAAAGTTCACCGGGGCGAAGCAACTTGACTAAGATCACGGTGATAACTAAGCATCAGCTCTGAGCCCGCCACTGCTGTATTGTAGAGGACACGCACTTCCATGTTACCAAAAGCGGCCGGTTACGGGATCAGAGATTAAGGGGCGAACGCCCTCGTTAGACTGCATTTAGAAGATGTTAATGTTCTTTTCCTGCTCTGGCCCACACACTGCACCCCCACTGCTTATGTAACAGCTGTAGGGAGCTTTCAGAAAACGGTTGAGTCCCTGCCATTCAGGTGCACGAAGGTCTTCCCTGAGTTTCTGACTCACTTTAACGTATGCTCTTACAGCGCTTCCACCACCAGAAGTCACCTCACTTTGTTGGTTTATTTCCCGTTCTCTTATACATTCCATGAGCCCAAGGACTACTGAATGTGTTCTCCACTCTGTTCTTTTTTTTTTTTTTTTTTGGGTTTTCTCCGGTACCGGGAACCGAACTCACCACCTTGCGCTTGCCAGGCAGGCGCTTTTGCCGCTGAGCTAAATCCCCAGCCCCATCCACTCTGTTCTTGAGGAGCAGAAAGCTGTCTGGCATATTCAGTAGTAAATACGTATTAAACTAAGGAATACGCCTCGTAATACTGATGAAGGGCACTTGAATTTTGTCAGTTCACCTTTTCATGGCTTCTGCTGCCCTCTATAAAATATGCATGTTTGTAAGCCAACCCCATCACCCTGATAGGGTCCCACAGGGTCTCCCGGCAAGATTACCGTAAACCCTTACCCTCTGTGACCCACTGTTGCAGTCTGAGTGTCTTTTTGTTTTGGTTTGGTATTTGAGGCGTGGTCTCACTATGCAGTGTGTAGCCCAGGCTGGCCTTGAATTTGTGATCCTCCTGTCTCAGCCTCCTGAGTGTAGGGATTACAGTTGTGTGCCATTACCCTGGGCTTTTTGAGTATCTGTCTTTTCTTCAGTCAGATGTAGCCACTGTTCTTATATTCTAAACAAAGCAGCAATGTTGCAAAGTAGTTTTTGCAGTGTAGGGATTGACTTAAAAATGATCCGTGCTGGCTATGGTGGCACAAACTTGCAAACCCAGAGCTTGGGAAGGTGAAGCAGGAGGATCACCAGTGATTTGAAGGCAACCTGACCTGTGTAGCAAGACCCTGTCTCAAAATACCCGCCTCAAAAAAAGTGATTACATAGTTAAAATGTGTGTACAAAGATAGATTGACGCAACAGAGTAGAAGCCTGAAGTGAACCAAAGTTATATTCATAATAAGTAAAAGTGACTTTCAAAGAGGAAGAAAAACAAATTCTTGAATAAATGATTCATGTCCAGCCAGTTAATTTGGAAAAGAAATTACACCTTTTCCTTTCTCAAAATTTCATGCAGACTAGACTAGAAGCTTGAATCTAAAAATATAACCAGTAAATATTAAGATGTTGGTAGCAGATATACACTGCATCTGGTCCCCAGTGAACGGATTTGAGATTAAAAATCGTTTTTGTTAGAGATTAAACAAGATTTAAACAATGAAATTCTTGCCTTATTTATTTATTGTCTTTTTGAGACAGGGTCTCCCTATGGAGTTCAGGCGGGCCTTGAGCTCACTTTGCAGCCCAGGCTGATCTGATCCTCCTGCCTCAGCCTCCCCAGTGCTGGGGTTACAGGCTTGTACCACCACTCCTGGCTTACCACACCTTCTAACTGACGTTGCTCCTTAATGAGATTACTGCTTTTGCAGTTAATCTAAATGTTGTTAGTTTAAACCATTTTAAAGATACTTAACAGCATAAGTAAAATATACACATGGTAAATTCATGGGCTGTAAAATATGTGACTATGGCGGCAGATTTGAGGCAAACACCAGCATCAATTCTGGGTCAGACATCTTTTATTTGTGTTCCTTTATCCTGGGAGAATATTCTGCCATGCAGATCCAACTAAATGTAGCACTACAATTTTTTTTTGAAGTGTTGGATCATTTCCTTCCTAGTCAGCTAAACATGCACTTCTTAGCCTGTTCATCACTCCCACTGAGACAGAGACAGGATCTGGGACCCGGTGACATCCTTTTCTACTTAAGCACGAGCTGTGTTGCTCCCTTGTTATGCTCGCACATGTGCTGTTACTAAAATAAGACTGACTATTTCTAGTGCTCTGCGCCTTCACAGAGTGCTGTAACTATTTTTAAGTTATATTGTATTAATTTTGGACTTAAATTAGTACAAAGGAGGATTTTGTGTGATCTTGTCAAAGACTGTAAAGGAACACCAGGGTTTTACAAATGTCAAAATGTGTTTTAGTAGAAATGGATCAAAATTAATGGCAGTATTTGAGAGTTAACACCGAACAATTTTGGGAGCTTGGTTCCAGGATCCCTGTAGATACCAAAATCCTAGAATCCTTAAGTATATTATATAAAATGGTGTATAGTATTTGCATATAAGCTATATATATCTGCCGGGCGTGGTGGCACATGCCTGTAATCCCAGCACTCGGGAGGCTGAGGCAGGAGGATCGTTGTGAGTTTGAGGCCGGCCTGGGCTACAAAGTGAGCTCACGGCCGGCCTGAACTGCACAGAGACCCTGTCTCAAAAAAAAAAAAAAAAAAAAAAGCTATACCTATCCCCCTGTATACCTTTAATCATCTCGATTATTTATAATACTTAAAGCAGTCTACGTGCTATGTAAGTGCCTGCTATAGTTTGGGGAATAAGGCAAGAGAAGCAATCCGTACCTGTGTGTGTACCGTAATTGCAGTTTTCTTCAAAAAATATCTTTGATCCGAGGTTGGTTTAATTCGTGAATGTAGAATAACCGGAAGAGGACTGACTGCACGGAAGGGGGAAACTAGTTGCTAAGTGTTCCCCAACTTAGAAATTGCTCATTCCCAAACACTTGGAAGTACCACAGTTCAGTTGCTTAGAACTAAAAACACATTCAGTCCCAAGGAGACGCTTAACCTGGGAGAAACCCTCACCAGCAGGCCTGTTGTAAGTCACCTCTAGGCTAGCGGGCAGCTGAGCTGGGGAGGCTTGTTATTCGCTGTTCCCCTGAGAGCAGCTAAAGTAGGTCAAGTTCACCTCCTGGCTGTCTCATCTGTGTGTTGCTCCTCCCCCTGCTGGCCTTGACCCCCCTCCACCTTCCAGTTGCACCTGATCCTTCAAAGTGCTTCCTGAACCCAGCCACCTGACCTGCTCACGCTGCTGTCCTTCAAGGCGGCATTTACATTTGAAAGTGAATTCCTGTACTGATGTATTACTGTTTATTTTGTTAACAGCCCTAGAAAACCGCAGAGGCAAAGCTGTAAGCGGTATTGCAATAGGAAGGTTAAAATGAGAAGGCTTAGGGCATTAACACCTGCTTTTGTGTTTGCAGTCGCTGGCTGACGAGCTTGCCCTTGTGGATGTTTTGGAAGATAAACTCAAAGGAGAAATGATGGATCTGCAGCATGGAAGCTTGTTTCTTCAGACATCTAAAATTGTGGCGGATAAAGGTAGTTTTAATTTATTACTACGATTTGTGTATTTCTTGGTTATTTGTGGTGCTGGGTCTGAAGCCCAGGGCCTTGCACATACATTCTACCCTTGTGCTAAATTCATTTTTTAAGTAAGTAGAGTTGAAAATTTGAAAGTTATTTATTTCAGAGCTGTGAACAATCAAATGTTCACATCCCCTTGAGCTGTAGTATTTTTGCTTGTTTTTTAAACAGTCTTATTAGCCCGGGCATATAGCTCAGTGGCACAAGCTCCTACCTGGCAAGTGCAAGGTCCTGAGTTCGATTCCTGGTACCAAAAAAAAAGCATAAACAGTCTTTTTTTTTTTTTTTTGGTTTTTCTCCGGTACCGGGAACCGAACTCACGACCTTGCGCTTGCCAGGCAGGCGCTTTTGCTGCTGAGCTAGATCCCCAGCCCCAAGCATAAACAGTCTTATTGAGATAGATCCACATAGCAACTAAAAAAAAAAAATCAAGTGTTCATGCTCTATTTTAGTAACTTTAAATCCTACAAAATATTCTTCTAATTATCATTCTTTCCCTTTCTTGCCTAAAAATTTGTTCTTTCCTATGGAATTCAACTTTTCATTCTTAATGTGTTGATTTTACGTTACCTTCTTAATGGCCAGTAACTTAGACATGAACTCATCAGCCCAAACTGACCCTAAGTATATGTCATTAAGAGAACATAACCAAGTGTTGTGTACAGTTGGTTGTCTCTGACGTTTTCCCTGTGTGTCGGTTTTCATTCATCAGTCTCTAGAAACTTCTTAAAAGGTACACACACCAACTGGACATTTTCAGGCTGGAAACACAAGGGAAAGCTGATCATGTACCCATACTCCACACTGATGCACTAGTTCTCTTTGTTTCCAAAACATAGGCTTTTTCTTTTCTTTCCTTTTATTTTTTTAATTTTTTTTATTTTTTTTGACTTTTTAAGACAGGGTCTCACTATGCAGTTCAGGCTGGCCTTGAGCTCACGTTGTAGCCCAGGCTGGTCTTGAACTTGCAGTGATCCTCCTGCCTCAGCCTCCTGAGTGCTGGGATTATAGGCGTGCACCATTATGTCTGGCCAACGTCTGTATACTTCAAAAAAAGACAAATTTCCTTTACAAAAAAGATAGATAGATAGATAGACAGACAGACAGACAGACAGATAGATAGATAGATAGATAGATAGATAGATGGATGATAGATTGATTCTTCAGGGAAACTCATTGACTTATTGCTAAAATGTGAATAAGCTCAAAATACTGAAACCAAGGTTTTACTTTCTGGCCAAAAACAAAGTTCCTTCCTCCTCCTCCATGGATTTATTTAACATTATATGCCTAAGAGCAATTTAAAACTGATTTTTGTGAGATTTGGTTTTTTTTTGGTTTTTTTGGTTTTTTTCTGGTACCGGGAATCGAACTCACAACCTTGCACTTGCCAGGCAGGCACTGTGCCGCTGAGCTAAATCCCCAGCCCCTAAAATTGACGTTTGTTTTCTTTTTGTGCTCTTTCATTTTACTAACTTAGGAGCACAAATTGATTTTTTTCATTTCTGTCAAAAGTCTGCGTATCTGATTTCAGATTCACTGTCAGTGTTTCGATATATTATTGAAAATCCAGTGAATTTCTTAGCCACACACATTAATTTAGGCATATTTTTATTTCCTGAGTTCATTTTCTGAGCCAGTTTTAGTTGAATGACCTTCAGAGAAAGTCAAGGAGGAAAAAAAGTAGCCACAGGAATATAGAACTTCAAAATCTTTTAATATGGAAAACTATATATTACAGTACTGAGAGTTGCACCTAAGGCATTTGCAATTAGCTATAGCCTCGTCCTATTTTTACTTTTTATTTTCAGACAGGGCCTTCCTCAGTCATCCAGGCTGAGCTCGAATTTGCAGTTCTCCTGCCTCAGCCTCCCAGAGTGTTGGGGTTACAGACCCAGGGAAAATTTCGTATGAGTTCTGGAAGCTCACTCGTGGTTCGGCTGTAGAGCACGCTGACTGGGGCACGTTTTGATGGAAAGTTATATGTAGTTTTTCTCCCCTTTCTTTTTCCAAGATTACTCTGTAACTGCCCACTCGAAGATTGTGGTGGTGACTGCTGGAGTCCGTCAGCAGGAAGGGGAGAGTCGTCTCAACCTGGTGCAGAGAAACGTCAATGTGTTCAAGTTCATTATTCCTCAGATCGTCAAGTACAGCCCCGACTGCATCATCATTGTGGTCTCCAACCCAGGTATTACGGCAGTGCCTTCCGGCTCAGTGCTATTGAGTTCGGGGTTGGGGGGCTTTCGTTGTTGTTTCGGGCTTAAAATCAGGCCCAGGCCCGTGTTCGCTAACAGAAGCAGTTCTCCTGTCTTCTGTTTGCTGGTAACAGAAAGACGGTGTTCACAAAGCAAGTGGTCGGGTCCTGGGCCAGATGTTCAAAATGTGAGGATAGTTTTGTTTAATGAAACTTCATCCTTTTGTCTTATCTGAGTGTTTTAGAATCTAAGGATGTTTGCGGTGGGGTTTTTTAGTCTCTTTGAGACAAGGTCTCCCTGTGTAGCCCAGGCTGGTCTTAAACTCATGGCAATTCTCCTGCCTCAGCCTCCTGAGTGCTGGGATTACAAGCATGTGCCGCCATGCCTGGTTTACATTCTTTTTTTTAAGGTTATTTTGGGAAAGAATATGAAGGAAAGGAGTCATTTGAATGTGGCTAAAATTTGTAAGAAATATTTTGACCTATTTTCTGGAGAACCCATTCTAGCATCCTAATCTCTAAGTTGTTTAGAACTGAATCAGACTGAATTTGAAAAGAACTCTTGCAAACGTTACCAATCAGTTTGGTTTTAAAAATAAACACAGAATGTACTGACAGACAAAAGCTGCTAACACCAAATGTTGTGACGTGGGGATTCCTTCCCCTGCTGAGTACATCTGCAGAATAAACATTAACATGTATTACTGGAAACAGTGCTACTTCTTTTTAGCTTTATTAGTTGAAAATTGCAGGAGGCTGTAGCCCCAACAGATTCTGCCAAAAGTCAAAATGGAGTCACTTGTGCCAACGTTCTGTATCACTGTGCTGAAGTCAAGCCCTTTACCGGCCATAATAAAACGGGATTGAGGAGATCACAGCCGAATTTCCTCGAAGGGCCAGTATCCATTCACATGCTGTTTAACCCTTATGTAAAAAGATTCTAAAATTATCCAGTATTAACCAGTTACTTGCTAATATCTTGTCTCCACTATACAAAGAAAAAAACTTTGAAATAACGAATTCTACTTGTTCTTTTATTACTGGTTCCTTTATCTTTTCTCTATTTATAAAACCAGCCCGGTGTGGTGGTGCATGCCTGTAATCCCAGCAGTCAGGAGGCTGAGGCAGGAGGATTGTTGGGAGTTCGAGGCCAGCCTGGGCTACAGAGTGAGCTCAAGGCCAGCCTGAACTGCACAGTGAGACCTTGTCTCAAAAAAAAAAAAATTAATAAAACCAAACATTGTTGCTTAGCCCAATGAAACATTTACTCTTGTTTTATGGAATAAAGTATTGCCTGATTCTAGAATCAAAAATAAAGCCACCTAGGATATTTAAATTGTAATTTCGCCTTTTGACAGCCTAAGCGGTTAAAGTTCATTATAGATCACACTTCCTTTTATTATTTGCCATCACATTTATTGCATGCTGGTGAGCATAGAAGACACTGACAAAAAGATAAAACAAATTATCTCTGCTTCACCTAGGGAAAGCTTGAGAATGACAGCAAGGAAATCCTTGCCGTTTTTAAATATCGAGAATTAGGAGCCACCAGTGATGGAGATTATTTCAGTATTATTCTCTCCACACCTAGGTTGGAGGTTATTAAATTGTGTAGTCTTGTATGTAAATGTTTATGTGGAAAATAGGTGTAGAACAAGAAGGTCAAATAGCTATGTTAAGTTCTTGCTTCCTGAGCCTCAGACGGACGTCACTGATTATGTAACTTTCTAGGTATAGCTTCAAAATCTAATTCTTCAGGAAGTCACTTCTAGTGAATCAGATTTGTCAAGGAAGAAAGAGTATCTAATGGCAAAGGTCCTTCAAACCTTTTAGCTAGGGTCTGTGGATGCGTAGGGTGGTAGAGACCGAAGGCCTGACTACCAGCTTTTCACCTTCCTTTCCTTGATTGATCTATGCTGGGGCTCGAACCCAGGGCCTTTGCACTAAGCTACATCTCCTGCCCTGATGCCCTTGGATTTTTATACTGATTGACTAATTGATTGATTGGGTTTTTTTGAGACAGGGTCTAGCTATGTAGTTGACATTGGCCTTGAACTTACTTTGTAGCCCAGGCTGGCATCGAACTTGTAAAGATCCTTCTGCCTCAGCCTCCCGAGTGCTGGGATTACAGGCGTGCACCACCACGCTCAGCTGTTTTTTATTTTTAGACAGATACACCAGCAAAATTTTACCTCTGTGTAGATGTGGTGTTTTGCCAAGTGGAAACAAAGGGTGTCTACTGTATAGGACCTTTGAATACCTTGTGTTCCTACAGTAGTTAAGTGAGCAGTGTCTTCTACCCAATAAAATAAGTATTTCTCACTTTCTGGCCTCGTGTCACTTGGGGAACGAGGAGGCGAGGCGGGAGGTGGCAGCTCGGGGAGCCCCTCATCGAGATCAGTTTTGATTTGCTTGCCTGTGTTTTTTCTAAAACATTCAGTGGACATTCTGACATACGTTACCTGGAAACTAAGTGGGTTGCCCAAGCACCGTGTGATTGGAAGCGGATGCAATCTGGATTCGGCCAGATTTCGCTACCTCATGGCTGAGAAGCTCGGCATTCACCCCAGCAGCTGCCACGGGTGGATTCTCGGGGAGCATGGAGACTCGAGCGGTAAAGAAAAAATACTCTTCATGCTTTTATAGTCTTGCTGTTCTGTATTTTGATTTTAAATTTTACTTTGATGCCCTTTGATGTGCTTCTGAAAAATTCATTAAAAAATCATATAGGTTTGGGGCTGGGGATTTAGCTCAGCGGCAAAGCGCCTGCCTGGCAAGCGCAAGGTCGTGAGTTCGGTTCCCGGTACTGGAGAAAAACCAAAAAAACAAAACAAAACAAAACAAAAATCATATAGGTAGTTCTATCTTCTTCTCATTAGCTTTACCATTTAGTCTAGTTTTCTCTCAGTTTTCTTAATTACTTTCCATATTGATCTGTATCATCTCCATGAAGTGAGAGAGAATTCCACTGAGGCAGCATTACTCAGATTTCATGGATTTTGTGAAAGACCATGAAAACGCTCAAGTAGCTTGACTTGTCAGAGCTTGTGTAGTGAGGAGAGTTTTATTCCCCGTAAGCAGCTTTCCTTTGTGGCTGCCTTAGCAGTACTGGACTTTGCTTAGCCCCCTGCTCCTATTTCCTGAGGCTTTTATGTTCCCCTCCAGAAGTCCCTAAGAAATACATAGCTTAAGTTTCAGGATCTAGGTCACAGACCTGCATTTGTAGCCCTTTAAGTAAGTAGACCCTTATTTATTTTATTGCACTTTCAAAATTATACTTTATGTGAGTATAATTATACTGTTTAGGGTTTTATCTAGGACTTCTTAAATTTATTTATTTGTCTATCTTTTTGAGACAGGGTCTCGCAATGCAGTTCAGGCTGACCTGGAGCTCACTTTGTAGCCCAGGCTGGCCTTGAACACACAACGATCCTCCTGCCTCAGCCTCCTGAGTGCTTGGATTGCAGGCATGCGCCACCCCTCCCAGCTTTTTTTTTTTTAGAAGAAAAAAATCTTACGTTAAAACAAAAAATAAGCAGGAGGAAATTTTAAAACTGTTCAAATCAGAAGTTTAGGGTAATCCTAAACTAGACTCCTTTGTGACTTCACAAACCAAGAAGGAGGAAGGAAAAAAAAATACCTCATATTCCGTGTAACTTTGACACACAAATTATTTTGTGCCGGATTTGTTGAAGTTGAAAAGGTCAGATATTTTGCCATTTGAAGGCAAACATTTGACCAAGTGTCCTCAAACGGGGGACTGCGGGAGTCGCTTGTCACTGGGGCAGTAAGTACCAGCTGGGAGTCAGTAACTTGTATCAGAGGTGACACCTGAACCAAGACTTACAAGATAGAAAGACCTGAACTGCTTGACTTGGTTCTTCTCCTGTTTTCTGACAGTGGCCGTGTGGAGTGGAGTGAACGTAGCAGGCGTTTCCCTCCAGGAGCTCAATCCGGAAATGGGCACCGACAACGACAGCGAGAACTGGAAGGAGGTGCACAAGATGGTGGTGGAAAGGTAAGCAGGAGGGACCTGAGGCACGAGGTTAACTGGGTGTTGACTTAGATCGAATGATAAAGAGTTCTCTTGGCTGTCCGCTCAGGTAAATTCCACGTAGTCAGTGGGCGGTTATCTTTGCAAGCAGCAAGGTGGGGTAGACAGGTCAGACTTGCTCCGCCAACCTCCTCTGGAAAGCAAATATTTTCTCTCTAGGGAAAGTCTGCTACACAGGTAACCAGAGCCAGACGCAGAATTAACAAGTGAAAAGGGCCTGCACCTTGCCTTTTGTCATTAAATATGGTTTGATTATCTCAGAAGGTGAGCACAGACCTCTAAGTCACATGATTGCCAAATAAAAGTACTGGAGGACAGATTGTTGAAAGTATTCAACCTGGTTTTTTTTTGTCTTTTTTGAGACAGCGTTTCTGTATGCAGTTCAGGCTGGTCTTGAGCTCACTTTGTAGCCCAGGCAGGTCTCGACCTTGCAATGATCCTCTTGCCTCAGCCTCCCTAGTGCTGGGAGTACAGGCGTGTGCCACCACGCCCGCCTGCTCAAACTATTGTTTGCTTATCTTTTCTCTCAATTATAGACGTCCCCACACCCTTTCCTTGATAAAATCTTCAAAAAAATGTTGTTTACAGAGAATTTTTGCAGTAAGACTATTCTCTTAAATATGAAAGTTGTGTTTAAGTTCAATTGTAATGATTTTTTTTTTTGGAATTCAACCTGCGTATAAAGAAAAAATTTTTTAAAGTTGAAAAAGTCATTAGAATTTTAATTAACATAATCCCGTTGTTTTCTAAATGAGAAAACGAGCTCACTCACCTCATGTAACCTAACTTGTCCAAGACCAGAAATTCAGGTCGGTGGCAGATCGCATTCAGTCCTAGTTTTCTGTTACTCAGTGAGAGTGATTCCTGCCACTCGGCAGGAATCAGTGCCTTCTGTAAGCTGTGAGGTGTGTAGTTTGTACCCTAAAGTGATTTCTTAAGGAGATCGCGGGTAGGATATTGTCATCACTTCTCAAGTTAGCTGATCATAATGTTAGTTGACAATGGCAAGTGGGATCTCACAGTCAAGGCACATTTTATTCTTTTACTTTGTCTCCTGATTTCATGTACAAGTTACATTGATTAGAAAGTGTACATTCTACCATATGACTTTACAAATATTCACTTATACAGTTAGCTGTTTTATCGCTTCTCAGCCTTTTGGCTAAGATCAAGTGTACAATTAGCTGTTTAAATTTATCAAAACATTTATATACTGCCTGCATGTAGTACTGACAGCCTTACACTCCTCATTTAATGACCAAGTTCTGTTTCTGGGTCTGGGTCATTAATTTTTGTGTGTATGTGTGTTTTTGAGACGGTGTCTCACTATGCAGTTCAGGCTAGTCTTGAACTCATTTTGTAGCCCAGGCTGGCCTAGAACTCGCAACAATTCTCCTGCCTCAGCCTCCCGAGTGCTGGAAGTGGTGGGATTACAGACGTGCCCCACCACGCTAGCTTTAGGACCAGGTCATTCATGAAGAATGAGTTGCTAAATGAGGAATTGTTCATAGTATGTGCATTTCAATATTCGGAATAAACAGTTAAAGGAAACTCCAGTTTGATGGCTTTGCTTTTATTTGCATAGCTCTTACATGCAGTACTGTGATGTATAGCAGAACATAAAACTACAGCACTGTACTGTACAACACAATCAAGAAAAATTACAGTATGTATAAACACGGTGTACTATACAACTATAAAGGACATTGAGGTTCTAAAAGCAAGATGTACCTTATATAAATTGGTGAAAAATACAAAAACATGTAAATTCACGCAGTAGGTCATAAGTCTGAATAACATTCCTTGTTTGTAAGTCTGAACAGTTGTTAAATGGGTAGGTCTTTAAATGAGGAATATTTGTATTTTAATTCATTTAACACTGATAAGAGAATTACAAAATACATAACATTTATTTTAAAGAAAATGACCCCATGGCAAGATATGTTAATAATTTTTCCAAGATTAACAGGCAGGAGTAGAGCAAGAGTCAAATCCAGGGAGTCTGGTTTCACTAATCATTTGTTTTATTTTTTCCTTAGTGCCTACGAAGTCATCAAGCTAAAAGGTTACACCAACTGGGCCATTGGCCTAAGTGTGGCTGATCTTATTGAGTCCATCTTGAAGAATCTGTCCAGGATTCATCCAGTGTCAACCATGGTGAAGGTAAGACAAACTAGTGAAAAATACATGATTTCTAAAGTGCAAGGTAAAGTTATTCTCTGTAATTATTTCTATTATCTCAACACTTAAGGTTAACTTCTGCCTTTCCACAGCCATGTGGGGAAAGAATCCAAGTTTGTAGACTCGAAACATCAGTCCTTTTAAATTATTCTTCCTTGTATGATGTGGTAAATTAAATACTAGCTCTGACTCTTCCAGCACATCCTTATAGTATATGATTGCTTGAATACACATAATGTTCACTTTAAATTAGTGTCATGAGCTGTCGTTTGCTTTTCCAGTAGCCTTTGTTTTTGTTTTTGCTTTTGTTTTTTTGTCTTTTTGAGACAAGGTCTCTCTATGCAGTTCAGGCTGGCCTTGAGCTCACTTTGTAGCCCAGGCTAGTCTCGAACTCACAAGGGTCCTCCTGCCTCAACCTCCAAAGTGCTAGGATTACAGGACTGCACCACCACACCCAGCTTCCAGTAGCCTTTGATACCTTAGCAAATTTGGTTTAATTCAAAAGCTATGGAGCTCCCAGCACTCGGGAGGCTGAGGCAGGAGGATTGTTGCAAGTTCGAGACCAGCCTGGGCTGCAAAGTGAGCTCAAGGCCAGCCTGAACTGCATAGCGAGACCCTGTCTCAAAAAGACAAAAAACAAAAACAAAAGCTATGGAGCAAACACACAAAATGGTTAAGTAAGAAAGTGCTTTAAAAAAATAAAATTGGGGCTGGGGATTTAGCTCAGCGGCACAGCACCAGCCTGGCAAGCGCAAGGTCGTGAGTTCGATTCCCGGTAATGGATAAAAAAATAAAATTATAGTAAAACAAGTGACTCATGTGGCCTGAGTGTGGCTGATCTTACTGAGTCCTTTAATGTGGTGCATTAAAGGAAACATATAGAAGAGATAGAGACAGAGGGCGCAGATGTAAAACATGATTTAGATGTTTGTTTTAAAATGCTTTAAAAGTAAAATGGCAGAAATTGTTAACTGCTGAGTATTAGGGTACCTATATAGAAATTAATTTATTCTGCTTTTGTGTGTGTGTATCTATATAACTTCGAAATTAAAACTTTTAAAAATTACATTAAAGTAACTTGTATATTATAACTAAACAGTCTGATTAGTTATTTGGTGAAACTGACCTTTTGAATAAATTACAGACTGGTATTATACAAACTGGTATTTTGGAAACTGCTATCTTGTCTTAAAGCTTTCTGTTCTTGTTTTTGTCTTTTTTTGATAGGCATGGTTAGGCTATGTGGTTCAGGCTGGCCTTGCTCACTTTTTAGCCCAGGCTGGTCTCAAACTTTCAATGATCCTCCTGCCTCAGCCTCCCAAATGCTGGGATTACAGGCGTGCGCCACCATGCCTGGTTTAAATCTTTCATAGTAGTGGTCACCAGTTCTTACTTAAGATCTCTTAGGTTGATCATAACCTGTTATTCTCACTACCTATTAAACATTACCATCTATTAAGTTCCCCTAAAATTTTTGTGGTAAGTAATCCACTAGGAAAGTCACTTAATTTGAAGATTCTTTGGTCAAATTTTATTAAAAGTGTATTTATCCAAGCAGAGAGGATTGTTCACTAAAACATTCAGAATAATTCAGTGCAATCTTTATTCTTATAACAACTTGCTTTTATCATAGTATATTGTCTTGGTTACTCTTCTATCATTGCTGGGACAAAATACATGATGCCCAAAGTTAAGAAAGGAAAGATTCATTTAGCTCATATTTCGTGGAGGTTTCAGTGCATACTCAGCTGGCTCCAAGGCAGGGTGGCATGGCAGAGGACAGCAGTTCCTTGTGGCAGAAAACATCAAAAGCAGCAAGAGCAAAAGGGAGAAGCAGCAGAGAACAAGCCTCTTTCCCTCCATGTATGCAAACTACCTGCCCCAGGGCAGTGTAGCACTCATACATAATCCCAGCACTCATACATAATCCCAGCATTTGCCCATGGATCAATGAAAAACTCTAGAAGCCCGTCCTATGACTTTATGAGGTTTGAGGGGACATCTAGCCACAAACCATGACATTCTGTCCCTGGCTCCCCCCCCCCCAAAGACTCATGCACCTTCCTTTGTCTTTTTGAGACAGGGTCTCACTATGCAGTTCAGGCTGGCTTTGAGCTCATTTTATAAACCAGGATGGTCTCAACTCACAGTGATCCTCCTGCCTCAGCCTCCTTAGTGCTGGAATCACAGACATGCACCACCACACCCTGCTTCCCATTCCTTTATGCAAAAGGCATATTAGCCCATCTCTAAGAGTTGCCAAGGGCTGGGGATTTAGCTCAGCAGCACAGCGCCTGCCTGGCAAGCGCAAGGTCATGAGTTCAATTCTCAGTACCGGGAAAACAAAACAAAAATGCTGAGTTGCCAAAGCCCTAACAGTTTCAGCATTGCTGAAAAGGCCACATCCCAAGTCTTCTCTGATGTGTAAGGCAAACAGTTAGCTGTGAGTCCCTGTAAAAATGAAAAGTTAAACACATCCAACATTCAGTGGCACAAGATAAACATTACCACTCCAAGAGGTACAAACAGGGATGCAAAGGAATGGGACTAAAGCAAGTCCAGAATCCAGCAGGGCAAACATTAAGTCCTGCAGTTCCACATGCAACATCTGAAACAATCTGTGATAAATTGTGAGCTCCATGTGTGTTGCGTGACTCCACCCCTATGGCACTTCTGGCGGTTACAGCTCCCATGACTTCTCTTGGGCCTGTTCTGCTCGCTCCTTGCAGCTTTCCTTAGATGATCCACATTCCTGATCTTTCCAAACTTGGGTTCTCCTCTGCACTTTAGGCTTTTCATCTTCACACACTGCCCTCTCGGGCACACTGCCTAAGCGGCTTCCAAAGCCTTCTGAAATCGAGGTGGAAGCCTTCTCAATCTCAGAACTCTTGCATTCTGCGTGTGCCTAAAACCAGCACCGCGCGGATGATACCAAGGTCTGCTGCCAGCTGGAGCAGTAGCCAGGCTTTCTTCTCTCTTGGCTGTAGGGGTCGAGTGCCTGGATTGCGGAGCACTCTGAACCTGATTCTGAGGAACAAGTTCTCTATACTGCTGCCCTGCTGCCGCCACTATGGAATATATATATGTTGAGTATTTCATGTATATAACCCATTTTAAAATATCAATTATAGGGGAAACAGAGACTCGTAAGTGATGAGAATTTGGTTAGAGAACGCGTGTGTGTTTATCAAATTTCCTGAATTCTTTCTGCTTCTAGCTGCTGGGATCACTCTTGCTGAGGGTTCTGGGTCTTGCTCTAAATGCCTTTGCTGCTCCTACAGGGCATGTACGGCATTGAGAACGAGGTCTTCCTGAGCCTCCCCTGCATCCTGAACACGCGGGGATTAACCAGCGTTATCAACCAGAAGCTGAAGGATGAAGAGGTTGCTCAGCTCAAGAAGAGTGCAGATACCCTGTGGGACATCCAGAAGGACCTCAAAGACCTGTGACTGCTGTGCTCGAGGCTGTAGAAGTTTAAAAACTACCCTGTGAGTGATCCTGAGCCTTTAGCTGTCATCTACACCGCAGGTCACAGTTTGCTTCTTCCTTACTATCTGATAGGAGCTCACAGCATCAAAGCCCTGGCTTGGATTAATGCTTGCGATATGAGTTCTTGAACAAATAAAATTAACTATTGCAGTGTGCTTCTGTTTCACTAGTTTCTGAAAGACGTGAGTCATTATTTCCAGTGCTTGTTCCCACATGTCATAAATGTCCCTCGATTCCAGCATCATCTTTGCTCCATCATCTGCGCTCTCCCCTTTGGGTAGCAAAACAGTTCTGTCACAGCAAGTTCCCTGGTTTTCTTGTCCTGGGAATATGCTTACCATTTTATGGCTAGAGCTGAAGAAATTGCAGTGGGTGTCAGTTATGTAACTCTTACAAGGAAGTCCATTCTACTTCTCTAAACGGAGGAACTTCTAAAACAAAGCTTTGTAAAATCGGAATGAACTTTGTTAGAGTTCTTTCTCTTGGATAGCCAAGGAAGGTGGAGGTTTGGGCTGAATCATTCAGACCCTGGCTACTGGAAGACAGCATACTCTGGGCATTTAAGAAGGAACATTAAGCAGGGTTTCTTTAACAAGAGAAATTCCAATTTACATGCAGTAGCTAGGGTTCAGTTTAGGGAGTGATTCGCCATCACACGATCATACCAGCCAAATAACTGATTGGCTGTGATCTTGGGCAAGTTAATTGCTGTACATAACCACTCCTAAGCCTCAATTTCTTTGCCTGTCCGTGTATGTTCTGTTTCAGTTCAGGGTGACAGGCCCTGAGAAGGAGGTGCCCACGGATGAAAAGAAAAGTAAGAAACAAGAACAAGAGAGGCAAAATTCTGCGATCAGCGGCCTTACAGCCTCGATTACCCATCTCCGTCACCTTTTATTGAGCGAGAGCCAAGGGCAGAGCTAGGACAAAGGTGCGGATACCAAAACATTTTAGCCAGGATAATACAGCTCAGTTATCATAAGCATGAGATTTGACTTAGGCCACATGTTATCATTCCTTCGGGCATGTCTCAGTAAAGCATTTAGTGATGACCTTGGTGGCTTTCTACAAGGACACAAGTTTTGCAATCTTATCCTTTCCATCAGTGCTTTTGCTAGACTTCCTGCAGAACTAAACAGTCACATGGCTTGATCAGGCCTGAGGCAATACATTGAAAGGGTAAAGAATGTCCTTCTCCACATATAATGCAACACACAGGCCTATAATCCCAGTTTGGGAGGCTGAGACAGGAAGACTATAAATTCAAAACTCCTCGGGGCTGTCTTAAGAAACCCTAACAGGGGCTGGGGATTTAGCTCAGCGGCAAAGCGCCTGCCTGTCAAGCGCAAGGTCCTGAGTTCGATTCCCGGTACCGGAAGAAAAAAGACAAAAAAAAAAAAAAAGAAGCCCTAACAAACAATAAACAAATCATTGTATGTCCTCAGTCCTTTCTCTAACAAAAGAATGTCCTCCTCCACATTTGCCCACAAAATGGTGATGTCAGTAGCACCTCTTCAATATGAGTTGCATAAGTTAAACAAAAAAATGAGTAACACCCTTAGCAATCAGGTGGGTTGTAGTGGTAGCAAACACTTAAGTGGTACTTACTCCTCTGAAGCTTTATGGATATTAATTCATCTAAGCCATCCCCCTGTCCTAGAAAGTAGTGTTTGACATTTTGGGCCGGATGGTTCTGTGCTGGGGACAGGATGCCCTGCGGGGTGTTCTCAGTAACCCCGGCATCCTCCCAATGGGTGCCAGTCACACATCTCCCTCTGGAGCGACAGCCACGGACATTCCCAGGTGTTCCTGGGAGGAAAGTTGCTGCTGACCAAGAACCACTGCCCTCAAGTACTTGTGTCCCCATTTTGCCAATCCGCAAACTGAGGTCTCCGGCACTAAACAGTGAGGATACAGCCTGGGTCCCGTCTCTGCCACATCTCTGCTCGTGAGCACCAGTGCCATCCGGTGGGAAATACCAGTCATTGCCACACTTACGTCTTTATAAAGTGACAATGAAATCCTTACTGCTTCAGAATATGTGAGGATTTGGTTTTACAGAAAGACAGGTATTAAATTCCTTTCTCAGGTCATTTCCACAATTACTGTTTGTAGCTACCAAAATCATTTCTAGATATAAAGAGAAATTTATGCCTCTAGTTCTTTATTCCAGTTTCTTCTGCATAAATGCAAATTTATAATAAGCCAGTTGTTCCTAAGCTTCAATTTCATGACCCAACTTAAAATGGTTTAAAGTTCATTAGGAATGAAAAAAATCTGTTGTATAGGTGGAGGAAGATAAGGGCCTCGGCATAAGTTTGTCATCCTTTGATTTTGTAAAAAAAAAAAATAGAAGAGTTCATGGAGAAAGGTCATCAAGATCATGAAGTTTTTTTACCATTGTATAAAAGAATAGACTTTGTTCTTTGCGATGGGATCTCACCATATAGCCTAGGCTGGTTTAAAATTTGGGATCCTCCTGCCTCAGCCTCCCAAGTGTTGGGACTGCGGGAGTGTTGTGCCCAGCAAGAAGCCTTTTAATACAAAAACGATGGGAAGGCCATCTCAGTGTATTGGCTCTCCTGGACCATGAACAGAATGCCAAACTCTAAGAATGACAGACCCGATGGATGGAAGAAGATGGGTTTTTATTGTTTATGGACCTGCTCTACCACCGATGGGCTGGCTGCCTGCTTCTGAAATGCTTCATGAAGAGGCAATAAACTCCTTATCTGTTTACAGATAATAAAACACTTACCTGCTTTTGTCCCAGCTAACTGCATCTGGTTCCAAATGACACTCCCACAGTATTGAGATAAGCCGTCATCAGGCAAGGTACCTGTTCACAGGTAACTTAGTGTAGCTGATGAAAAGTGAATGAGTGACACACAGCAAAACAAGTGCTATAAAGTCAAGAAAAGACCTGAGATCCCACATACTCAGTTGGAATGCTTTAGTTACTCTGTAAAACAATAAGGAAAATGGAACCACTAACATTACCTAGGAAGAAAGAAATTGCCCAGATTCAACTATCCCACGGGTCATTCAAGATGCAAAAACTACACGTTGTCTCGTACTGACATGGTTTATTCATACAGCTACTTTTGTAGGTGCACGCGTGTGTGTGGTAACAGGGATTGAACCCAGGGCTGTCACACTGAGCTACTCCCCAGCCCATTTCTTATTTTTTTATTTTGACACAGAATCTTCCTAAGTCACTAAATGGCCTGGATAGGGCTCAAATTTTTGACCCTCCTGCCTCAGCCTTCCAGAGTTCTGGGGTGACTGGTACGCACCACCACAGCTGGCTCATACGGGTACTTTGATCTCATGTAAGAGTTCAGAATTGGACGTGATCTTTGTCTAAGTTGTTTTGCAGAAGAGAAACAGACCCAAGTACTTTGGTGGGTCGATTGGCTATTATGTCCTCAAACTGGCTAAAACAAACCAAAAAAGGAAGGTGGGATTATTGATGAACATAGTTGAAAAGCCTAAGCATGGGACTGGAATTAGGCAGAAGTATATTCAAGGACAGGAAAAAAAAAAGTCATCAAGATCATGAAGTTTTTCTCCAACTCTGTAACTTTTCTTTTTTTTTTTTTTTTTTTTTTTGGTTTTTTTCTCCGGTACCAGGAACCGAACTCTCGACCTTGCGCTTGCCAGGCAGGCGCTTTGCCGCTGAGCTAAATCCCCAGCCCCTCTGTAACTTTTCTATATGTATATTTTCTAATAGAAAACATTTTTTTTTTGTGTCTCCTCACAAAATTACAAGCAGGAAGATCCTTCATCCTTCTTAATAAGGAATCTTAAAGCCACAAACAGACATGCCATTAAAATTGAATTATTAAAAGCTTTTTATTTTTTGATTTAAAACATTTTAAAAATGTAAATCAGGCAGGCTCCTTAAGCTTGTGCGGCTCATAACATGTCAAACTGCTATAGCCAGAACTTCTGGGAATTGCTTCTGAAATGTCAGGTGGAAAAAGATCTGTGCAATTTTTTAAGTAGCACTGTTGCTCAGGGGATAGTGGAGGCCTCAGGGATAGGAGCTTCAAGTTCTGAAAACAGGCAAAGAGATGACTTCAGATACAGAATAAAGCCGATTTTGTGGAAGAACCTCAATTCTGATGTTAGGGTGGTATAGAAACTCACCAAATCCTTGAAATACAAGGTTACAAGATAGTCATCTTCCAAAAATACTTAACCAGGGCCATCAGGAGATCATGATCAAATGCACTTAACTCTAGCCAAGAACCAAGAAGGGCTGCATCCTATGTACACTGACTGTTATCCAGAGA